AACATCTTGGTGGAAGCGCGGAGGCGGATACCATGCTGGAGACGCTGGAGCCAGAGCATCCCCAAGGTGACGGACGCCAGGAGCAGCCGCAGCCGGAACCTGCGCCTGCTTCGGTGGCTGCGGCACCCCCGGCTGCGGCACCCTGGTTGGCCCTAGCCTAGCACACCATTTAGGTCAGGTATGCGACTGATCGTTTTGTGTCTTCCAAAATGCCTAATGCCTGATGATGATCAGATCACTGACCGCACTGATTACTGACCACTGAGTTTTATTTGGATCGATTTTGCTTTGCTTTGCCGGTCCGCGTGTGTGTCCGATAAAGGTGGAGTGCGGCCCGTGCGGCGGTGATGACGCTGCTGCAGATCCCATGGCCGCTTGCGCTGCTGAGCCCACAGTGGCGGAGTTGGCCGCCAAGGCGAGGGGGGTCAAACGGCAGGGTCTGGGCGGGGGGCTGGGTCGGCCCAGATCGGTGGATGCCCTTACCGGCCAGGTGGCGAGTGAGGGCGACATTCCAGAGCTTGCGAGCTTCATGGATGAGGAGGCCACTGCTTTGGCGTTGACCAACGGCGATGATCCGCGGATGGATGCGGGTGCCGAGGCCGAGGACGCCAAGGCGGACGAGGCCGAGGACGCCAAGGCGGACGAAGTCATGAAGGAGTTCCCCAAGAAGGAGAAGAAACAGAAGAAGGTGAAGGAGAACAAAGAGGCCAAAGAGAAGACACTTTGTTTGACCGACTGATCGGAGTTATACTTAGTATATACTTTCTGTTTTGCCATATTAGTCCGTTTGGATTTTCTGCAGCCCGCACTGCGTGACTGCGACTGTGGATGTTTTCTTGCATTGCTGCAACGCCCGTGATTGCTTGAGGAAACACAAGTCGGAGCAGGTCAAGGCAATCGCTGCCACGGCGAAGGCGAAGGCGAAGGGGAAGGCGAAGCCGCAAGTTGGCAAGAAGAGGGGCGCTGACACCTCATCCATGGACTTGCGGTCAATGATGGTGACTAAGTCATGAATGCCATCATGGGGTGGGGTGGCGGGATCGGGGGTTCCCTTGTACACGAACTCAGGAAAATGAAATCACTTCAACGTCATTTGATGAAAGTCTTGAGGACCTCCTGAACGCCACTCCTTTTTTTTGGGGTGGGCTCAGTTGACAACTGGCAACAATAGCCGGATGTTTGACTGACTTGGTAGTGGCAGCAGTGCTCAAAAGTTTCCAGAATCCAGACCAGACCAAGGACCAATCCAGACCCATCAAGACCACCCTTCAAAGTACATCAGGACCCATCAGGACCAATCCAAACCTATCAGGACCAATCCAAACCCGTCCACAAGTCCACCATCCTTCAAAATACACATTTGTTTGAGCCATGCTGCAATTAAAGCCCTTTGAAGGCTTGGGGGGGACCTGACCATCCATCAGACATGAGCATCTGGAGCGGCCGGTAAAAAAGCAGCGTTTGTGCAGGTGTGCGCTGGATCCTGCCAGGTTGTGTCTGTTCTGAAATCGTTGAAATCACCTAATTTTCAGCCCTTTTTGTCAATAAGTGTTTATGAATCGTTGACAGAATTTCATGAACACTTATTTGGTTTTGCCCCTTCTCCAGAGGTCCAGAACACTTATTTTGAGCCAATTTCGGCAACATAAGCAAGTTAACATGGGAAAGGGCACTTTTTGGGTGACCTTGCAAAGGTCCTTGCCAAAGCAAGCCAAAAAAAGCAGTTGACACGCCATCTTAAGCTGGATCCCCAAGAGTTCCGTTCATAGCTCACTCCGTTCAAAACCAGCACCCAGCCCCGTGCGGGTTTGGCGCTGGCAGCAAAAGCTAGATCTAGCAAGGTCTACCAACCTGGTGAAAGTAGAGGATGCTTCCCCAAAAGTGGTCGGGAATCCACCTTAAATGGGACATTCCCCGAACCAGCAAGCAGTTGCCTGTCACCATCCTTGGTTCCCAAAAAGAGATTCCTCCACACATGGAGTACACCAAGCAAACCTGATCACATGTGACATCCAGGCCTGACCAAGGCTCTAAAATAGAGGTCAAGCGTGTTCTTGGCCAAACAAATATTCATTTAGGTCCTCCAGTAGAGAGGATAGAATAAGTTGGTACCCTTTTTTCTGTAGTCTCTTTTAGTACGGGAACCCTCCCAACCAAAAAAGAAAGGGTGTGAAAGGGCACCAATTGCTGGGGGACCTATAGTCATAGCATTCCCCAAAGGCTCAGACGTTCGACAGGTTGTTGGGTTCCCCGTGGATCCAAGTTGCTCAGATTCAGCAGCACGCGGCTGGCCTGGCATCGGCAGAGTCGAAACATGAAGTTCTACAAAGCCATGCCGATGCCGCGAACTCCGTTCGCACCGAAATGAGTCACTTGCTCAAAACCCGGTAAATAAAAATGGTCGATCCCCAGAATTCTAGAACCATGCTTCAAGAATTAAGAAGTCGGATATTCGCAGCTATTTACGGCTGGGATTGTCCCTTACTAACCTTCATCTACCCGAATCGGTTTTGAGCAAGTGGCTCAAATGACTCCATGGGAAGGACGCCACATTAAAAAAACAAAAACGTTTCGTATATCATTCCCTCGGGTTTGTTGAACGGTGCGAGACTCGCGGAGTTCGCAACCCTCCAGCGAGTGTTTTGGGTTTTCGGAGCTCCTGGGAACAAGACGTCCCAGACTTGAAGCCCAGAATGGTTCACCCGAGACTCCGTAGGTAAATATTAACCCCCGAAATTCTTGGCTGGAATTAGGACCCCAGCAAACAAGTTGCGTTGCTTCCCTGGTTAGTGGAAAACACAGGGAACCACTAAGAAGGAAGAAACAAAAAGGGAACTAATTCTGGGGAAGTATTTTGATGGTGGTTTGAGATGGTTTGAGCCCAGAGCCAAAGTCGGCAAGGCATCCCGTTCAACAGCTCAATATCACACGCATAGGTGTCCTTTTAGGGGAAATAGATGGCCCTGGCAGATGAAAAAACCACCGGGTAAACCAGGAATCGCCATCTATTTTTAGACCAAAACAACAATAAAGGACACCCTCTGCAAAGAGCTCCCCTTTTGCAGGTTGAAGAGGAGCTATGGAAAAGCAACCGGGCAAGACATCATAAGGCAAGTCAAGTCTGGAAATGCATTTTACAACTCCCCGACCGCTCCACTTTGCGAATAGTTGGCAAGTGCCGCCCACTTTGAGCAAATCCGAAGACTCAAGGGTTGTGAATAGTCGACTACCGTCGCTCCTGTGAATCGTCAAACGCCACCTTTCATCTTGGTTGACGTTGGAAGGGGAGCAAAAACTTAAAATTTAGCAGTAGAGTGGGGATTTCAACCACTAAACCACAATAAGCCAAAATTTAAAATGTTTCCCAACAACAACCATGTCATAGCCTGCAAGGTGTGTCTTGGACATGACGCCTGGCTATTTCGCTCTCCAGAAATCCAGCCAGGCTACATTGGAGCTATCGCCAGACAGGACCTCGGACCGTTGGATGGCAGGGCGCGGGGGGAAAAAAGGCAAATGGCAAATGGCGGTTGGGTCATTCTGGACTTCGGTAACTTGGATCTTCAGCCAACTGAGTGGTAGCCGCACTGCGAGGGTTTATTGGACTTGCGACCTAGGAACAACTGCCAGGTTTGTCTGGTTCTGCTACTTGCAATACCTAGGGCATTGTTGTTACAAGTAGGGCAACCAGGGTAACCAGGAAAAAAATGACCCTACAATTCTACCGCAACTTAGCAAGACTTTCGGGTTGGCCGTGGCGCACTTGCAACATCAAGGTGTGCTCTTGAGGGGTGTAGCTTCCATTGGCGATGTTCAAAATCCGCCCCCCCCCCCCCCCCCAAGAAAGGCAAAAGGGCACTGATGGTCCGCGCTAAACTCACAGCCTAATCATACAATTTGGTTCCATCAATTTGGATTCACGGTGGCCTGCTTGCTTCAGCGCGCTGGCATAATCAAACAGACACCAGGGCAAGTTCTATGTCGAATAAATATGTCGAAAAAAATATACGAAGGGAATACCCTCCTCTCCACACATGGAATCTCGCAAAAGCAGTCCTGGAAGACCAGGTTCCTTTAAAATGGACCCTCTGGTGGGTGCCATGTTCGTGGACAGGAGGGTAAGGATTCAAGTGAAGGGCCCTTCAAATGGACCGTCTTACCTCACAAATTGGTGAGATTGAAAAATACACAACTTGCCCAGCGTGCACAGAAGCCGCCCATTTGAATCGCAGGCGCTATCAGCTGCAGTGCGGTTCAACTTGCCAACTCCAAGCAGAAGGATCACACCGAACATGGGACCCAAACCGCCATCGTTTTTTTGCACGAACTTGCTTTTTGGGAACTCCCCCCTTTTGTACTTCCAGCTCAATCTGCAGGGAAAACATATCGAACTAAGCCCAAGATCATCTGACTGCCCTCAGGCCTTTTGGTGGGTCGACATCTTGCGCACCAAAAAATCCCCCCTCCCACAACTCCAACAAAAGACTTGAGGCAATGTTTCCAGACCCTCGGGCTGGGGAGATCCAAGCCGAGTGTCGCAACGTCTTTTTGGTGTCTTGGTGGGGAGTCGAATCGAACAAGAATCACGTCTCTGGTACGTGGCTTGGCCTTCTTTGGTCATGCACGCACAAAACTTGGGTACGTGTCGGAAAGTGCCCCCTACCTCCAAAATCGTGGCTTCCCGGGCCGGAAACGACAAAAGGCCCTGTGATACAACCCAAAAAACCAAAACGCCGAGTCACACAAGGTTCAGCAGTGGGGAATGAATACACCCCTTATATTCCAACCCTGGGTGGCTTCTGGCCGCATTGTTTTTTACCCACTTTGCAGCGCTTCCTTCCAGCCGAAAACCCCTGACCCCACATCCTGGCTTCTGGCCGATTGTTTCAAATCAGGGTATGGCTCAAAAAATAGGTACCAAAAATGGAACCCTGGTAAGCGGAAACATCGACCAAAACCTGCGTACCCCTGGCTCTTTAATTTGCCACTGCCACCAAGGGCTAGGAATTTGAGGGAGGTTTCCCCCGTCTCCCTGGCTGGCCCACTTTCACCCGAGGGGCCATCCAGTGCTGGGCCTCCTTCAGCAGCTCCTCGGCCTTCGCCTGACGGACGACATCGGCCGCGATTTCTCGGAGGGGACGCGAGACGAGTGAACCGTTTTGGGGGATCCTCTAGAAAGGAAACCACCCGTTGGATGGTGTGTTTGTTTTTTTGATGTGAAACCATGGGGGATGAAGGAAATCACCCGTTGGATGGCTTTTTGGTTGATGTCGTTCCCATTCTTCGTCCGACTTGGTCGGAGCAAAAATTGGTGTGTTGCAGGTGCTCGCGAGCGCGTGTTGGCATCGGTGTGTGTTTGTGTGTGTCTGTGGGTGTGGTGGTGTAGAGGGAAGGCAGCAGGAAAAGCATCAGTTTGGGGGTACAATGTACAACTCCGTCTTGGGAAACAAACCCAGTTTGCAGCCAACAAACCATTGAAAAGTGAACTAAGACAACCTCGAGTTGTGTGACATATGTTCCAAATCCCCGATAAACTAAGACCAGTTTGGGACGTCCCTCTTTGACACAACGCCAACAAAGTTTGATCCCCCAAGAGAAAGAGAAACACGCGTCACTTTCTGAGCGCATCGGCCAGCAAGTCCATTTGCAAGGTCCAGTTGTCCACTATGCTCCGAAACCAAGTCCGGGACCGGAGTGAACAAACCAGGGAATATCCGGGTTTAGGCTCGCTTCCCGAGTGGACTAGTCATAAACAGTCCAAAGTGTTTGTTGACCACTACTAGGTCCTCCAGTAGTAGAGAGTTTAGAATAAGGGTACCTTTTTTTCTGTAGTCTATTTTACTAGGGGAACCCTCCCCCAAAAAAAGAAACGATAAAAGGGCACCTAGCTGCGGGACCTAGACTAAACTGGTCCAAACCCACAAAACAAGCGACTCAAGTGCTATGAAGCCAGGAAGTGACGCAAACGTCACTCGAGTGACCCGAGCAGCTGCGCGAATCGGCCTGGGAAGTCTCCAGCAACGCCTGCCGGGCTTCCTCGTTGTAGAGATGCGCCAGTTTCCGGGCCACCTGCCACGGCACAGGGGAAAAAACACGCACACCAAACCGAAAACAACGTCTCAATAGGGGAAGGGGGGGGGAACACAGAACGCAGAAGAGCACACAAGTAACATGCGGCAACCACATAGGGGGTTGATCAATATTCCATTTAGGGCTCCCAGGTTTGACCATGGGTAACTTTTCCGATGTGCTTGAAATGTTATCTTAGTGGTCTTACGGTCCCGCATAATCAGCTTCCCACGGAATCAGCTTCCCCCGAACTTGTGGTTTGGTGATGCGCAGGGGTAAACCCCATTTGCCCTCTCTACAGAAACCAGGATTTCAACTAACAAACCAATCCAAACCGCCAATTAGTGGGTACCTGAACATGAAAACGTGAACAAACACAAAACACTGCGCGCTTCCGCTATTTTTTGAAAGTCAACGCCTTTCTAGAGAAACAGGGGAACACCAAGGCGCTTCAGGAAAAGCAAAGGAAATCACAAGATGCTCCAAAGTCTACGAATTTGGCTTCCCTCCCCAGCCCACATTGGGTTTGTAGAACCCACCAGTACAGTCGACGGATCAATCAACCCAATCAATCAATCAATCCGTGTTTTCTCCCAACAAGGGATGACCCTAAACTTCGATGGGACACAGCCACAACTGTCCCCCTTTGGGGGGCGGGGTGGGGGGGGGAAATGAAAAAAGACCTGGTGCCACTCCACACCAATCCCAAGAAAAAACTCATAGAAAAGCTGTGGAAAGGGGTCCATTGACCACATGCTCGAGGTCTCTGGTGTTGAGGGAAGCCAAAGGCCACCCACCCGGACCAATTCCAAGGCCATCCGGCCTTCCTCGAAACGAGAAGGAAGCCTCCAAAATGGAAATGAGCTCCTTTGGCGTCCCTGGTGAGTTCTTTAACCAGCTCTAGGCTGTTCAAAGAAAACGTTCCGTTGGTGTCCCTCGTAATTTTTGACCAGCTTTAGGCTTTTCAAAGAAAACCAAAAAGCAACTCCACAGATCGGTGGAAAAGCCGCTCGCCATTGGCAGATGGGCCCGAGCATGACTATAGGACCATCAGACCCCAAAACCCCAAAACCCCAAAACACATAAAATGTGGATTTCCTGTTGCTGTCCCTTCAAGCCAAAACCAATTACCAACTCCGGAAAGAGACACCGCACGCACTTAACACTGCTCAAGACCTCAGCTGGCTAAGCTGGTTTTAGTTGTTTCCATGCACCGATCGGGCAACCCATTTTGGGGTTACCCGATTTTTGAGAACAAACCGACAGCCGGGCAGGGGAGCCAAAGTTTCTGGCGGTGCCATCTATGCATGTGGTTATGAAACTGTTCAGAGAAAGACACCGTGAATTTTCGTCAAACAATTGTCCAAATGTCCAAACCGATTTTGGGGTCACCAGCTATTTGACCACCACAGCCAGCTGGGGAGAAGTCCACGAGCCGTCGCCGGAAGAAACAAAAGAGAAAGCTTTAGTCCATGAACCACACTGTCCAAACCCATTTTGGGGTTGTTTTGACCACAGCCGTCGCCGAACCGAAGCTGCCGACAGGAGCCGATGGCCTTCATGGTCTGCGGGTCGTGCTCCGATCGCCGGCTCCCTACGGCGCGGCGGTACAGCGCCAGGCACTGCGACATGGCGCGGCCCTCCTGTCGAAGGGACGAAGGCGGGGGGCTGGGGGATGGTTTTGGGCTGCAAATGAACAATCTGCCAGACACCTGGCTTGGTTTCTTCCTTCTTCTTTTTTGGGGGGGAGGGGGGGGGGCCTGGGGGAGGGGGCTGGAGGGGGGGCTGGAGGGGAGGGGGCTGGAGGGGGGGGTGGAGGGGGCTGGAGGGGAGATGTGCAGCTTCAGAACTATGGGGACCTCGAAGGGGGGAGGGGAGGAAAAATGCAAACACGCCCTCGTTACGCCCTTATTAAGCCCTTATTTGGGGCTTAGTTAGGGCTTATATGGGCTCCCTCCCCCTCCCCTCCCTCCCCCACCCAGCTCCCGCATGAAGAACAGTTTACCTGGGTTCCAACAAGGGTTCGGGAAAGAATAAATCTTGGTTGCTGTTACTAGTAAGCACCCCTCTGCAACGCCAGTGCCCACCACAGCAAAAAAGCACAAGAAGAGATCGGGACCTGAGGTGTGGATCAAAGTGTCCACCAACCTCTCTTGAGAAGGTCCCGTGCTAACTTCTATGTCTTGGTTGCCGCAACAACCCCTCCGCCAAAAAGTTCATCGTTGTGGGTCCAATGCAAAAAGTTCAAGTCCGAAGATCCAAAATCCATTCTGAGAAACCAGCAGTTCATGATTCCCAGGTAGACGTTGGTTCTGTCATAGACTTCCTTCCCCAGGTCCCAACAGGAAACGTGTGTTGATGAGCCATGGTCAGAACTGGGCTGCCCTCTTTCAGATCGATCCCCCGCTACAAGTGACTAACTTTTGGTGGGTTAAATGGAAAGTACCACGAAACACTGAAAGGCCAAGAAGCTAAGGGGTCTTGGTCATGCCTTATGACTCCACTAAAGTGAACATCCAAGCAGCCAGATTTGGGGCTGCGAAAAGAGGCAGGCAAAGAAGCCGCTGGGTCGATCTCGGGAAACCCCGAGACGCTGAGGCAACAGAGCAACTCCGTCTTCGGCCACCTCCGACACAGCACATACTGCGGATGGTTGCGAAATCCATTTCGCGCCACCGAAAGGAATCCCTGGAATGATTCGATTCCCCAACGTAAATACCAAGAATCAATGGGTTCTCTTGATTTCGAAGTGGTGCAGGATTTTGTCCATCCACAGCATGTTTCTTTTGGGGTTCCGGTGCCTTTCGGGGTTAAGGAAGACCACTCAGAAAACACCGATGAGTGGTTTGCCGTAGAACTCTTTTCATGCCGCGGAGCCGAGCACCCATTTACAAGGGGAAGAGGGGTTTAAGGTCCTCCAAATCCACTTCGTTGGGTCTGAATTCTAGTTTGGGCCCTGACAACATTTACATGGAGTCTTGCGCCCCAAGGGACTCCAAACTTGTGCCCCTGGAATCCCCTACGACTAAGAAACAAATGGCTACATAGAGTTTATTCTCCCATTTCGGCCTTTCTCGTTTGACTTGCCTGGAGAAGCTGATCCACCATCAATCTGGTTTTCGCGGTCAACTCCGTCTACTCAGTCCGACACCAAGGGGCCAGTGGGTTGCCAACAGTGGCATCCACTGCCAACGGCTCAAGGGGCTTGCGCTCTTTTACTTGGCTTTTTGTTGGAAGGGGAGCAAAACTTCAAGAAAATAGCAGTTAAGTGGTTGGACTTCAACCACTAAACCACAAGAAGCAACAATGTAAGACACGTTTCCCAACAAGAGCCATGAGAAGGCACCTGCGGGAGGGTACCTGGGGCATCATTCTCCTCTTGGCCAAAGCCTTTTGGTAGCTGGGGCATCATTTACATGCAGCCATCCATGGCCAAGCGCCAAGCGCCGCGGTTTTTTTTTTTTTTTTTTTTTTTTTTCGGTTGGTTCCGAGGCGCGCTCCAGAGAGCCGGGCGCAGGTCGTCCCGGACCAAGGGATCCTCCTGCAGGGCGCGGTCGCCCAGCTGTCGCCGCAGAGGATTCATCTTGGACCTGCGATCCACGGATCAGGCAGAGGTTGCCCATGGTTGCCCTCTTCCACGACCTCGCGAAACTGGGTCTTTGCTAGGCACCTCAAAAAACCATGGAGAAAAAAACATGAAACGCCATGCTTCACTTCTTTCTCCAAGACTTGAGCAAGAGTTTTTAAACCTAGGGTTGGTCAAAGCTCGAGACATACTGTGGATGGTTGCGACATCTGCTTCTCACACCACCGTCCAGAAACCCAAAAAAATGATGCAAATACCAAGCGCTATGGTTTCTACCATGGTTTCTTGGCGCCAGTGGCATCTCTTGCTAAGTCTCAGACAGACCCTGGTCAAGGCTCCCGCCATTTTTTCCCTTCGCACGGACATGGCAAAGGGACCTGGAGGATCAGCTTTCTGGTGGAAGAAGCTGCCAGGGCCACCGTGGGAGGGAGGGTATGTACTAAAAAATCGGTTTGTGCGGATCAAATACACATCAGCTTCAAGTCCAGCAAGTTCGAAAGATGCACATCTTGGTTGCCGCAACGACCCCTGCGAAAAGTTTAACTTGTTGGGGGTTTAGTGGAAAACCCAACTTGATTTCAACCAAAAAGTTGTCTAAAGATCCAACTCTTTAGCAGTCAAGTGAACTGGGCGGAGCTTTCCAGGCGCCCTTTTACCTTCACGCCTGCGAAGCCCTGCGCCAAGCTGTGAACCAGCAAGGGGTCAGTGGAAAGCAGAATGGAAGGGACATACGGTGGATGGGCGAAATCCTGTACCACCGAAGAAACCCTGGAATGCTGCTTCCCCCATAAATGCCAATCAACAATGGTTTCTCATGGTTTTTTAGGGGTGCAATCTACCCTCCAGAAGTCCCGACAAAGTGATCACTGTCTGTTCTTAAGGACGGGAACTGGACGCACAAAAGGCCACACGGAATTTCAGGGGTCACGTGACTCTTTCCCCGCCTCCCTGAAGTGAGTGGGGTTGCTTGAAGGTCAAGTGATTTGCGGATCCCACCCCAAAGAAGGATGCACGAACAAAGACATAATGATCCTATTCAATTCGAGTCTTCCCCCAAAAAAAGGGTGGCGTCAGCGTGCCTCTATTTGGGGGTTGAATCTCGCGGTTTGAACATTCAGGGATACCTTCCCCAGTTCGTCTATAAACAACTGCCCGGATTCGAATCCAAATCCCCAAGCCACCAATTCAACCCCACCAACCGTTCAACCTGAGGACGTAATCCAAACCACCACCACTAACCTGATGTGGTGGAGCCTGACGTGGAGCCTGGGGCTCGGGCAAAAACATGGCGCCCACGTCGTGCGGGCTTTGCGCCTCCCTGGGGCTGCACATCGGACTGGTCTTCGGGCTGAGGTTCTGCTTCCCTGTCGGATGGCTTGGGAATTCGATTCCGCGCGCGGGAGCCTCTCGCGAATAGGCTTTCGGGGAAATTGATGGGTTTCCCTGGTAGATGATTAAACCACCAGATAAACCAGCAATCGCCACCAATGTTTTGAACCAAAACAACCAACTCTCGCGTTTCAACCAGGAGCCATGCGAAACAAATCACCCGATTTCCGTGATACCCATAGGATTTGGCAGCGTTTTTAGTGTACGCCTTGGTTGTTTTTGTTTTTGTTTTGCAGGGAAACCAAAAGGACAACGTGTTTTTGTTGGGGGGTTCCCCAAAGACACTATGGGCAATGCCCATGACTCTATCACTTTCAAGGGGGGGGTTAACCAGTGACCACACAAGCAGGAACCCTGTTTGGGCAAAGAAACAATAGGAATGAATTCTTCTGGCTTCTCAATTTAGTGGGAACCTGCCAAAACACATACCCATGCGCGCAAAATCGCAGATCGATGAGGGTCTCTGTCACAGGATGTTTTGGGTGTCAATGGCTTGATGGGAGTTTCTTCCCTCAACCGATCAAATGGTTGTGGGTCAACATTTGCTACAAATCGAAGCCTGGTAGATAGAAACATGGACCAAAATCAAACACATGCTCCAGACTTGTCGAATGCCAAAGGTCCAAAGTAGCATTCAAAGGTTTGGCATTTTATTTGAAAAGGGCTGCGGCCATCGACCCTCGCAGAGAAAATCAAGCCAAAGCACCAAGGAAAGCAAATCGATCTTCTACAGAAGCGTTCATCTTTTAGTACGCGCCTTCAGGCACATTGCCGTAAATGCTATCGTCCACTGCGCCTCCCTCATGGAGCCAACACAACCTAGAGCAAGACTCAAACACAAAGCAAACCCAAACAACTCCTGACATCATCTGCTTGTTGGTGTTGTTCCTCGGGGGGGCAAATGCTTTGCTTTTCTGGGCTACATGAGGTGTGACCATGGACCCTACCGAGCGGGGATCCGAACCTGGATGAGATTGATCAGTTGGGAATGCTACCTGCAAAGGGGCATGCCCTATGTCCTGAGTATGCCCAAGTCTTTTCAAAATAGGCCTGACACAAACTAACCTGCGCCAAAAAAAGAAAACAGGCCAGGAAACCCATAGGCCATTTCAGACAAACATCGCACTGGGCAACTGAAGTACTCTGGGGGATCAAATGACTTGAAAGGGGTGGTGCAGTTTGAGCATGATTGTAGAACAAAAACTGCGAGTCAGGAACTACTAAAAATAGTGATGATTATAGTGGACTACTGTGGATGAACACAATCTGCTTCGCACCAGTTAAGATGGCTGAACGCGGATTTTGCCCATCCACAGTATACCAAGTTGATAGTCTCCTTAGGAGGGATTACCCCACATCTAACTCACTTCGGCTCATTCACCAGGCATGTTGACCAATAAGTGGGTGGTCATCCAAGTGTATGTATATGGCTGGCTGTCAAAATGTTGATTCCCAGTTTTGTAGTGTAAATCGCCATTCCTGTGGGGGCCCATATTATATATGTATGTATATATATATATACCTATGTATATATATATATACCTATGTATATATATATATAGGTATGTGGTATCGGTGTCTTCTTTGAACACCCTGACTCAGGATCCCGAGTGAAGCGTGTTTTGTTTTTTTCGGCCCCCGGCCTCCATTCTTCGGTTGCGGCTTAGGGCCTGGCAGGGAGTCTGCAGGCTCTGTGGAACGAATCCAGGGACACCCCCCTTTTTTGTTCCAAGGGGCAGCCCCCCCCCATGATGTTCCAAGAAGTGATGATTCAAATAGGGGTGCAAATTCCGTGCAAAGATTCAAGAAAGAAAAAGGTGACCCTTCTTTTTGCGATTGCTGGGCTGAGCTGCTGTTTCAACATATCTCACTTGATGTTTCAACCATCCTGCTTGCGTCGTGCGGTTTATAAAGGAAAACCCCTCTGCAGACACCAAAAGGACAGGACGCGGGTCCGGGAACATGATGTGGCCCAAGGCTAGTGCTGGATGACCATGGCAAATGCCAGCGGTTAAGTGCGCTCAGTGGGAACTACTGTGGATGGACAAACTCCTGCACCAGATTGAAATTATGAGAACCCATTGTTTGTTGGCATTTACAGAAGAATCATCATTTCAGGGATTCTGAGGTGGTGCAGGCTTTCGTCCATCCACAGTATTTCACATATTCACTGCTTTCTCGACATGGGGTGGTCCGTGTAACGAACCCAGAGCAACTCCAGGGATGTGTGTTCATATCCCTTTTACAAAGCGCTTGGGCACACCCCGAGACAGTGCATTGTTCATACCCTTTTCCCCACCAAAGGATGCAGACCTGGGAGTCGCAGGGAACTTTCATGACTCTGCAGCCCCATGCCCAGACGCTCATGGGTGCAGTTTTGGTGCTGTTTTGGCGCTGTAGCTTCCAACTTCGATGGCTTTTCCGCAGTTGCTCGTCGCACGGGCAAGACGTCTTGCGAAACTGCCTGGGACATTGAAAGCATCCAAGGCAAACGCTGACCGCTTTGTGCGTAGCGTGCAAACTGGGCCTCGAAGCTTTTCTAAGGCTAGCTTCCATGTCCATTCTGAACCCAGGGATCCGAATCTTTCTAGAAAACCACCAAAATCCCCGGGGAAACAGCTGGTGTTTGAAAAGAACGATGCTTGAAGATCATGGAAAAGGAATCAACCCCAGAGCTTTCCTTTCGCCTTGCCTTCGGCTTTGCGGCGCATGTCAAAGCCCGGCCGCGACCGACCAGGAAACCGCATGGTAGACGGGAAGCAGGCAGGCGAAGTAGCCCAGGGTCAGGAAGACCCCGAACTGCCCCAAGATTCGCTCTTTATGGAAGGGCCAGCGCCAGCTCAACCTTAGAAAGTTCTGGGACTCGGAAAAATAAAGGGTGATCACCTTGCAGAACCAAAAGACCAGGAAGGCCAACAGGGTGTCTCGTTTTTGTTGGTGCCCGTTTTTTGTTTTGTGTGTGTGTGTTCTAACCAAAGGAGAACCACCATCATGTTACGGGTCACCTAAAAACGAAAAAGGCCCCCACCCAAAAGGCTCCGAAAACCAAAAAAAAAAAGGAAACAAACAAACCCAAAACAAGCAAAAACAACAAAGAACAAAACACAAAAACAAGGAAACCAACGATCAAAAGTCGCCTTTTGCCAGCGGAGCCACTTGTCCCCAGAAAGACTGCAGAGAGCCACCGCCAGCAGTACCGGTCCAAAGGCCACAATGAAGGCCGCCAGCTGTGCTATGGAGAAGCCCAAGAGCTTTTGGTCAGAGTGCTTGGTGGCCAAAGCAACCAAAGGCACCAGAGAGGCAGAGAAGAGGGTGTAGATGCAGTGGTACATATCTTTGGGCATGCCCAAGTACGATTCTGGAGCCCATGTCTTGCTGCTTTTGCCGTTGATTTCCTTCTTGAACTCTCCCTTGTACTCTTTGGAATCGCCCAGCTTCTCGCGAAAGGTACCACACCACTGGTCGATGAAACCACTCATCGGGGAGCCATAATTGCACTCGAACTTGGCATGATGACCTGGACTGCCCTCAGATCCCCCACTAAAAAAAGAGAACTTTTAGTGGGTTAAATGGAAACTACCACTAAACACTAAAAGGCCAAAAAGCTCAGGAACCGGATGGCCTTCGGGAGCCGCCAAGTGACAGTAGTGGTACTGATTGGACTGGAAATGGTCCTCCCAGCCGCTGTGACTGCAAGCAGGTGCAATAGTAACCTGGCTGTGGCTCAAAAAACCGGCACCAAAATGGAACCCTGGCAAGTGGAAACGTGGACCAAAACCTGCGTAACCCCCCCCTGTTTAATTTTGAGCCACACCCACCTGGAAAAAGCACCAGTAGAACAAGAAGGGGCTCAGCCCACTGAGGTAGAGAGCCGGGAAGAAGACATTGGAGTAGTAATACAGATGCTCAACGGGATGCATGGTGAGCCCGGAGAAGGGCTCGGGGTCCGAGTTCCGGTGGTGAAGGCTGTGCACATACCTGGGCTGCTCGTTTTATGATCTGCTGAAAGTTTAACGGATTTTGGTGGTTTAATCTGAGGGTTTTTGTATTACACCCCGGGACTACACCCTTGGGAAATGACCCAGAATGGTTCAAACTAACACGGTGTTACCCGGAAATGAGTCGAAATGGGGTCAATACGTGGGTGTATTCCCAGGTAATACAAAAGCCCTTAGCGCTATAAGTGGAAATCCATGCACTGAAACAACCAAAAAGCTACACACCTGAGGAACCGGATGTCTGGTTTGGAAACCCAGGTACTTATAAACGCCCCGGATATGGATGAAGCGGTGGGCGATGTAGAAGTGCAGATCCTTCCAGACTGGCATCGCGAAGACCCAGACTACATTCCAGCACAGCAGCACAGGATCGGAGATGATCTCAGCCTCATCTTGTCACTTGCCCCCCGTTGGGTGTCCCCTTTTCCAGCCGGGTCCCAACCACCGCGAATTTAGGGTTGGGCACTGGGGAGTTTGGACAAATGAATGGACCAAGTCAGCTTGAAGGTCCCAACCACTGGCGTTTGGGGCACTGGGGATTTTTGCAGATTGAAAACAGCTTTAATTGACAATTTGAATCCCGGGATCTCTGGTCAGAACCTTGACGAATGGAGCAAGTCAGCTTGAAATCAAAAGAAAGTCTCAGGTTGATTTTTCTTCGCTGCATGCGAGCTGCGGCCGTGACGTAAGGCACCTTCCCAGTGGCCCACAAGCGCATCATCAGGGCTTCCAGCAGCGTCCACTGCACTACGCCCAAGGACCAGTAGTAGAGGTTGTGGGCCATGTTGCCGCGCGTGGGGAACCTGCCGGGCGCAAACTTTCGCAAGGACCATCGCCGCACCTCAGCTGCAACCCACAGGGAACAGACAAGAAGAGGTGGTCGCCTTTTGGAACCTGGACTTAAAAGGGACCTAATATGGACCAAATCAGGGAAATCAAAAGGTCAAAAGGTGGTGCCATGACAAGAAGTGGTCCAAAAAGGGAGCACGGAAAAGGTGAAAAGGTCGATTCGCTTTGGTCGCAAGTGAGTGACATAGAGCGCAACGTAGAAGAAGCCGTAGTAGGCCAAAGCGACCCCAAAATTTAGGCCGAGCCTAGGCAGAACCCAAGCCCACGACCAGCTTCTGGCGGCTTTAATTTGTCGTAGGGTGCCACGGCATAGACAGCCATGGAAAGGATGCCTCAACCAGATTGGAGCCAGAAAAATCGCAGGTTAACCTTTTGCAATAAATCAACATTTCAGACTGCTGGATTTGCAAGTGAAAGTCCATGAACTCAGGAGGTGAGGATAGCCTAGGTCCTCCAGTAGAGAGGCTAGGCTAACCCGTTGGATGTTGGAGGTTGTTTTTCCTGCTGGTTTCCCTTTTACCCCCCCCCCCCCCAAAAAAAAAAAAAAAGAACGGAGGCCACCCTATAAAGTAGAGGTTGGTTAGAATAAGTTGGTACCCGATTGATTTTTCGGTTGTCTGTTTTAGTTGGGGAACCCTCCCCAAAAAAAGAAAGGGTGAGAAAGGGCACTACTGGAGGACCTAGAAGGTTAACCTGCTAGAAGAAAAATCAAAGGGTCAGATCTGCTTTAATTTGGCTCTGAGATGCACCAGACCAGGCTGGGGGAATAGAAGAAGTACTGAAAGCTCGCAATCCGCCGGAAGGTGTTTTCAAGTCCCAGCTGTTGCACCTGGCTGGTACAGCCTGCTGGCTTGGTCGTGTCCACCCAGGTCTCGACGCCCCCGAAGACCTTGCCACCTGCATATGCAGAGCAGATGACGTAGCCGCGGAAAAAAAGGGAATACAAGCTTGGGTGCTGTAGATTGCCCAGCAAAAAGCTTAACTTGTTGCTGGTCAAAACGAAATATGAGGGGAATCCCAAAAGTTTAAAGTCTCAAGATCCAACCCAATAGCAGTAGAGCAAGAAGCGAACTGCGACATACTGTGGATGGTTGCGAAATCCGCTTCTCGCACCACTTGAGAAACTCCGGAATGATAAGATTCCCCTACGCAAATACCAACAAACCTTCCGGTTTCAAAAATGGTGACTCATTTTGGTGGTTCGAGACTTGCGGATTTCGCAACCATTCACAGTATCTCTACCCTGAAAGATGTTGTTTTCCTGCTGGTTGCTCTTTTACCCCCCCACCCTCGCCGAAACAAAACGGGGGCTAGCCTAAAAAGGCCGTACTCCCCCCTTGGCTAGGTCCTCCAGATTTGAGAGGATAGAATAAGTTGGTACCCTATTTAGTCTCTTTTAGTAGGGGAACCCTCCCAACCAAAAAAGTGGGTGAGAAAGGGCACTTGGCTGAGGAAACCTAGCTGGCGTTTGTGACAAAAACAACTTCCTCCACGCCTGGCAGTCCGCCCAAGCGGGTCCAGTCCACCATGGCTTCGACCGGGCGTCGTTCTTAGCGTCGCTTTCCGCTTCAATCGGAGCTCCGCCCCAAGCGAACAGTGCAACACGCATCTAGACCAACAGCTCAAGGGGTTGATTCCTCCATTCTTTTCGACCATCGTTCTTTTCAAAAACCGATCCCTGTTCTTCGAGGGTTTTGGGTGGTTTTGTAGAAAGATTCGGATGCCTGCAAGCCTTGATCAATGTACGCCTAATTTCTCTTGACACTGCCACTGGAGCTCCTCCACGAATGACTCTGATTCCAAAGCCGGCTCTATACTTCCAAGGAAATGGGTGCGATCTAAACCTTTGAAAAAAGCCAAACGCCAAACTGAGATCCGTGGGTTCACAAGCCTCGCCTTGCCTCAAATCGATTTGAGGACACCAAGAACACCCAAATCAAGGGGTTTAGGGTTTAACAGAGTTTCTAGGGGTAACTCTCTAGGGGTAACCCTTGATTTGGCAGCGATCAGAGTTTCTAGGGGTAACTTCCATTTCCATTTCCTGAATCCAAGGATCCGAATCTTGCTCGAAAACCGCCAAAAACCTGGGGAAGCGGGTCCGGTTTTTGAAAAGGATGGCTGAAAAGAAATCAACCCCTAGCATTTTAGACTCACTTCCCAAGATTTTTACCACCAAAATGGTCCAAACCCAAAACGTGACCAAAGTCTGACCCAAAAGTTGCGCAAGATGGAGGAGACCAATGGGCCAAAACAAACCGCGAAGCCGTGGCTTCCGCACCTGATGTCAAGGTTGCTCCGTTACTTCCCAAACCTTGGTACTGCAGAAAAACCTTATTGCAGCCCACTCAACATAAAGATTAAACGAACGGCAAACCAACCCCACAAGTACCCTCCAAATGGGTAAAATGTGATATACAGTACCTACAAGGGCTGTCTGGGAAGACCTCCGGCCCTGCAGGAACACATGGAACCTGCAAAAATCTGAAATTGATTTAGAGGAAACCTAAGTTTCCTCCGTTTCCTCCGTTTGCGTGTGTCGTTTGTTCGGAACTTTTTCCTTGTGGCTTTCCTTTTAAACTACTAAACAGAGGTACCTCAAAACAGACACACCCATTTGCTTCTATAAGTCTTCTGAACAACTAGAAATATGCCATCGCCATCGTAAAGTGGCGAGCTACCAGTCAATCCAGAGGACTACGAAAGGGTATGTGCTGCTGTGGATGGACAAAATCCTGCACCAGTTTGTAGGTGGTGTCTCCCGGAGCGTTCATCCATCTTCATTGGTGCGAAGACGATTCTATGGAAGTGCCACTCTCAGAAGTGCCATGACTCCAGATCCATCAAAATCATTGTCTATACTGGATATGGGCCAGAAGGCGTCCTTGGACACTCAATCCAGGATAAATGGACGCCTGCTAGGACGTCTGCTTGCAAGCTCAGATTCATTCTCGCGCATCTTTCTGAGGCGCCAGATGGAGCGTTGAGTAGAACTATGGTGGAAAAGTAAAACCAGACTCCGTTTCTATACCCTGACGTCCGCAAGTGGGCTGACCATGGGTGTATGACGACTAAGCCCTCTTGCCCCACTTACCGTGGATGCCTGCCTGTATACCGTGGGTTGAGAACCCTGTGGTGAGCTCGTGTTGGGTCTTGGCCACGCTCCGATTCCCAAGAGATGGCTGTAACTTGCTGGCAAGATCATGCAGGGAATGAAGAAACTATACAACGAATAGGGTTCTTCCGAAAGCCCTTTTGGAGCCTCCAAAAGCGGCGATCCTTTCGGTGGACACCCACAGATGCAACTATTGAAGGGAAACTCCGGCGACCCCCCCAAATGCAACGTCCTGTCGATGCCGATGAAAACCAACAGAGCCTAGGGTAAAAAAAAACGAGATCCGCTCTGATTTGGATTTTTTACCCAAACTGGGATTTACCCAAAAGGAGATTCCTCTAAAAATGGCTATGGGTCAAAACCCCGGTACCTCGGTGAACACCCAGAAAGCCTTCCAAAAAGACCTGGAGTGGTACCTTAGGTTTTGACCCACAGCCAAATGATGGTTCTGGAATTTTCACATTCATCTGGAGGGAAAGGGGCCAATCAATTCCGCACATGCTTTGCTTATGCTCATGCTCTAATTTGGGCTAGGTGCGCCACACCCCAGAGGATGCCACGTGTATGAATGGTAGGTAACCAACTAAAATGTGCCTTTTATTTGGCAAGGGTGGCTTCCTTGGCCACTAGACAGGTATCGAAGTGTTTGCGTTTCTCAACATCCGGGAATCCCCGAAGTGGTTTCGGGTCCATTGAAGAACTGGCGAAATCCCCAACTGGCTGTGGGTCAAAATGGGTACCCAAAATAGAAGCCGGGTAAATGGAGGACTCAACTCTGCGGTCCATTTCCTGGTGCATGGTTTAATTTTGACCCACACTTAACTGGAGATGGGTAAGTCGAAAGCAACACGACGAGGGAAAGCAGGCGCCTTGCAGGCCAAAGCTCCGCAGGCCCTCCTCCACGAGCCGGCAAATGCCCTGACTTCAGCGGCGCAGAGAGGAGTGGAGGGAGTTGGGGGTTGGGGGGGTTGGGGGGGTTGGGGGGGTTGGCGTTGGCTTCCCTGTGGCTCTTGAAACAAACCAAAGACGTCAGCACATTGTATCCCTAGGCAAGCTCGTGAGAGCATGTGCGAATGAAGTTGCTCTTCCATTGAAATGATGGAGAGCCACATGGGCTTGTCTCAAAACAGGGGAGCATCCAAACTGATGGTATTCCTGTTGTTCCCTTTTAGAACCACCCCCCCCCCAAAAAAAAAAAAAAACAAGACAGAGCCACATTAACAAAAGTCGGAATTGATTGAAATTAGATGTTGGTATAACATGTTGAAGTGAGAGAAGTGTGGCATGTATCCTATCTCAACAATACCAAATACGCACCTCTGAAAAATTGACTTCCGGAAAAGGGGTGGCACCAAATGATGCTCCTATTTTCTGGTCGCATTTTTCACCCCTCGCGCAAATTATCCCACGGTTGAGGGAAATCAACTCTAGTTTCTGACTTAAAACATGACAACCCTACATGTACGTTCGAACTTGGCACGTGGTTAGCCACCTGGCATATAACCCACTAAGGAATTGATTTTTCTGAGCGGGGGCACTCAGAAGTGGTTCATCACCTACTCACAATTTACTTACTTCACTAAACTCCCAAGTACCCAGACCCCTTTTGGACCCTTCTCAACCATAAAGTTGGACCCTGCCCCACGCTAAGAGCCGCCAAGTTGGAGTATGTTGACGAGTGGGCTGGGGCAGCGTTCAAGGCTTAAGTAAATTGTGGCGTTCACGTGGGTAACCCTGTAAATCTACCCCAAGAAGGATGCCCTCAAAAAGACACGCTTAAATATTTAACTGTGCATGGTGCATGTGGGACACACACACACACA